AAAAAAAAAAAATTATCCAAAAATCCCCTAGAGCCTTGGAGTTTAGATTGAATCAAACCTCATCATTCAGTGTACTTTTTAATCCATACCATTGATCAATTGAGATAAGAACACCGTCAGTTTGGCACCATCTGTTGGAACGACTGTTCCTAATACAAATACACTGATTTCTTTTAGTAATTGATAGTCACTACACACAACATGAGCAGAAGTTAGATGAATCCTCAGCGATTGCAAAACCAGCAGGAAGCCTCCAGCGGAAGGCAACAAGAAAATCTTCAAGACTTCCTACCCACCACAGAGACTAATCCTCCAATGGAGGATTCCCCTCTGAATAACGAACTGGAGGCTCTTCGCTTAGTCAACCAGCGTCTATTGCAATAGAACGTAAAACTCTTGAAGCTCCTGCAACGTCCTCAAAAGACAGGACCAGCCCAGGATGATCCCCCACAAGGGGAGCATCAACGTCTCAATCCCCTGAGGGAGGTTAATGAAGTGGACGAGCATAGCCAAGCCATGGGCCATGCTCATCATCCACCTCCTAGGAATGAAGATAACGAAGAGATACAGAGTCAGAGTGAGGGAATCGAGAAAAACGAATTTCTCCTTTCCAGTAGGAAAGAAGAGAACAAGATTGAGAACAACGTTTCAGAGATATCCAGCAAGAGCTCAGCCACATGAAGGAAGCTATGAGAGATAAGACCCCAATAATAATGGATGCCCTAGCGTAGCAGAGTNCAGCCACATGAAGGAAGCTATGAGAGATAAGACCCCAATAATAATGGATGCCCTAGTGTAGCAGACTGAATCCCCATTCACTGCTGATGTACTACATTTTCCCCTCCCTTCAAAGTTCAGAATGCCCCAGATGGAGGCCTTTAATGGGACGAAAGATCTCATAGATCACCTCAACACTTGTAAGAACCAAATGGAGTTGCATGAATATCAAGACCCTGTGCAATATCTGGCTTTCACTATCACACTAAAGGGCTCAGCCTTAGCCTGGTTTAATAGGTTAGCCCCGACGTCCATCTCCTCCTTCAAAGAGCTCTCCATATCCTTTATGTCACACTTTATAGGAGCTCGAACATACTAAAAATTAAGCTACCATGTGCTGAATATGAACACAAGGACCTAACAAGAACCTATGGTCTTACGTCCAAAGGTTCAATTCAGAATCACTAAAGGTGGACATTCCTAATGAAAAATTCGCCATCACTGCTTTTATTATAGGGTTAAGAGTACAGTCGAAAGACTTAATGTTCTTCATATCAAAAACTCACAAGCCAGTATGGCAGAGATGCTTGCCAAGGCAGAAAAGTACAATAATGGCGAGGAAGCTCTCATTTCTAAGGTGGGGAGCTCGTCCTCGTAGAAGAAAAAAAGGGAAGGAAGAAAAGAAGAGGGACCGAAGTCCTAAAAAAGAAAAAGGCAGAGACAGGTCTCCAAGAAGAGATAGAGATTGTTCTCCCAAAAGAAAGGGAAATGTCAGGGATCGATTAGGTCCTTTGTAGCTAGAATTACAACCAAGGTACGCACCTTGACAGCTCACTCCACTCAAAGTTACAATATCCCAGATCCTTTATGAAGTACAGAATGAGAAATTCCTGACATGGCCACCTTGNTTCCTAATGAAAAATTCGCCATCACTGCTTTTATTATAGGGTTAAGAGTACAGTCGAAAGACTTAATGTTCTTCATATCAAAAACTCACAAGCCAGTATGGCAGAGATGCTTGCCAAGGCAGAAAAGTACAATAATGGCGAGGAAGCTCTCATTTCTAAGGTGGGGAGCTCGTCCTCGTAGAAGAAAAAAAGGGAAGGAAGAAAAGAAGAGGGACCGAAGTCCTAAAAAAGAAAAAGGCAGAGACAGGTCTCCAAGAAGAGATAGAGATTGTTCTCCCAAAAGAAAGGGAAATGTCAGGGATCGATTAGGTCCTTTGTAGCTAGAATTACAACCAAGGTACGCACCTTGGCAGCTCACTCCACTCAAAGTTACAATATCCCAGATCCTTTATGAAGTACAAAATGAGAAATTCCTGACATGGCCACCTCGNATTAAAGTCCTAACAGACCAGCCAATGAAACAGGTATTGCATAAACTAGAATCTTTAGGGAGGTTGGTCATGTGGGCCATAGAGCTCAGTGAGTTCGATGTCAGGTACAAACCCAGAGTTGCAATCAAAGGGTAGATTCTGGCAGATTTCATCGCAGAATTCACTATAGCCACAGAAGCACCCATGGAAATAACTTAGCTAGTGCCTAACCTTCTTACTTGGAAGCTTTCGGTAGATGCAACTACCAACGGCCAAGGAAGCAGTGCAGGGTTGATTTTGACCTCCTCAGATGTAATAGACATCGAGTATGCCCTCAGATTCAGATTCAATGATCAAACAATGAAGTAGTCATTGCTGGACTCAATCTGGCTCACTTAATGGAGGCAGAACAACTCAAAATCTACTGCGACTCCCAGCTCATGGTAAAGCAAATAGAAGAGACCTATGAGGATAAGAGAGAGATAATGATCCTATACCTGAAAAGGTAAGGGAACTAATGAGGAAATTTGTGCAAGTCAAAGTCAAGCATGTCCCTAGAACTGAGAATTCTTGAGCGGACACCTTGGCAAGGCTTGCTACAGCTTCCCAGGAGAACTTGGATAGATTAATCCTTGTTGAACACATATTTGAGTCGTTTGTAAACCATGAAGATGAAGAAGTGCTCCATGTAATGGACCACCCGATCTAGATGGACCTGGTCATAGAGTATCTTTAAAATAGAACATTGCTAGAAGACCCCCAAAGAGGTCGCGAAGCTAAGAGCCAGGTCATCCAGATTCATGATCCCACAGGGGAACTTGTATAAACANATTTCATCGCAGAATTCACTATAGCCACAGAAGCACCCATGGAAATAACTTAGCTAGTGCCTAACCTTCTTACTTGGAAGCTTTCGGTAGATGCAACTACCAACGGCCAAGGAAGCAGTGCAGGGTTGATTTTGACCTCCTCAGATGTAATAGACATCGAGTATGCCCTCAGATTCAGATTCAATGATCAAACAATGAAGTAGTCATTGCTGGACTCAATCTGGCTCACTTAATGGAGGCAGAACAACTCAAAATCTACTGCGACTCCCAGCTCATGGTAAAGCAAATAGAAGAGACCTATGAGGATAAGAGAGAGATAATGATCCTATACCTGAAAAGGTAAGGGAACTAATGAGGAAATTTGTGCAAGTCAAAGTCAAGCATGTCCCTAGAACTGAGAATTCTTGAGCGGACACCTTGGCAAGGCTTGCTACAGCTTCCCAGGAGAACTTGGATAGATTAATCCTTGTTGAACACATATTTGAGTCGTTTGTAAACCATGAAGATGAAGAAGTGCTCCATGTAATGGACCACCCGATCTAGATGGACCTGGTCATAGAGTATCTTTAAAATAGAACATTGCTAGAAGACCCCCAAAGAGGCCGCGAAGCTAAGAGCCAGGTCATCCAGATTCATGATCCCACAGGGGAACTTGTATAAAGAAGATTTTTCAGCACCTTTCCTTAAATGCGCATGTGATGAGGATTCCAATTACATAATTAGGAAAATCCACGAAGGAATTCGCAGCAATCATATCGGAGCTCGAGCTCTGGTAGGAAAGGTATTAAGGCAAGAGTACTTTTGGCCCAATATACTCAAAGACGCTATAGATATGGTCGGAAGATGTAAGGTTTGCCAGATACATGCCAACGTCCCTCATTGTCCACCAGATCTCCTGTCCTCGATGATGAGCCCTTGGCTTTTCCAAGAATGGGGTCTGGACATACTTGGGCCCATTCCCACTAGTACTAGACAGTACAAATTTATAATTATTGGGGTAGATTACTTCACCAAATAGACAGAGGTCAAACCTTTGGCAACAATCACAGAGTAGAAAGTTCAAAACT